CATTTTTAATATTTTTTGGTATGTTATTCTTCCAAAGCCAGAAGCAGGAATCTCCACGGGTATTACTTGCAAAAACATCACCATCAATAAGCCACCAGTATGCATATTTAGCTAAATATTTGCCATCAACAGCAGGAGCCCAAATGAAATCACCCTCTATGTTAACATTAACAAACATGGCTTGCATAATATGTTTGACTTCAGTAGGGGTATTAGTTTGCAAGCCTAGCCAGGTTCCAACCATCATCATTACAAACATCCTTGACTTGAATTAAAGTTGTTTCAGAGCAATGATACTTGCCAACCTCAAAGCCTTAAGCTAGACAATATTCTAGATATTAGGGATGGTTTGCGTGAGGAGTTGATTTGCTTGGTGTCGTTATTGGAAGTAAAAAAAGTTGTCTTTGCTATGGATTCTTATAAAGTGTCTGGTCCGATGGGTTTTAACCAATTTTCTTTGAGAACTATTAGGACACTATTTTTGTAGATATTTGGGAGATGGTGGCAATAGCTTTTTCTACAAGTCATATTCTCCCAAGTATAGTAAAAGCTTTTATTGTTCCCATTTCTAAAATTGATAAACATTTTTTTATGAAAGGCTTTAACCCATCAGTTTTTGTAATATGTCCTTGAAAATTATATCTAAAGTGTTGATTAATCGTATCTGACCATACTTGGATAATTTCATAGAGCCTTTATAAAGTAATTTAATTCTCAAAGATGAATTAGTGACAATGCTATCATAGTCCACGAGATAGCTCATCATATGCATAAGAGGAAGGGAAAGACATGTTATCTTATGCTCAAAATTGACTTTGAAAAGACCTATGACAGAATTGATTGGGATTTCCTTAAAGTCACTTTTGCAAAGTTTGGCTTTCTCTAGAAAATCATTGATCTTGTTATGAGTTATACTGATGACTTCTCACTTTCTTTAAAGTGGAATAATGATACGTTGGATTCCTTTGCTCCTACTAGAGGTTTGAGACAAGAACATTCCATGTCATTGCACCTATTTGTTTTATGTATGGAGAAATTGGGTTTATTAATTCATTAGGAAGTTTCTTCTTATAAGTGACAACCTGTTTCAAAATCTAGAAATGGTCCTAAGGTCTCCCACCTCTTTTTTGTTGAAGAGTGTTTATTGTTTATAAAGACTACCTATAAGCAAGCTAGATTAGTCAAACAAGTTCTTGATGCCTTTTGTCTAGCAGTTGGTTTTAAAATCAATGTTAGCGAATCTAGATTCTTGGCTTCCAAGAAAGTGGATAGGAGGAAAATATATTGTTTTGAGAATTATTTTGGTTTTAACCATACTCAGAATTGATAAATAATTGGGCTTCCTTATCATAACAGGGAGAATTAAAATTTTTAATTTTGGTTTTCGAAAGGATTCAAGGGAGATTGGCTAGTTGGAAAACCAATCTTCTAAACAAGGCAGGGCATATAACTTTATCAAAATCGGTGTTAACTGTAATTACCAACTATGCTATGCAAAATTGTTGGTTACTTGAAGGTATTTATCATAACATTAATAATACTCTTCGTAGATTCTTTTAGGGCAAATCAACTTCTCATTGGGTTAAATGGAGAACAATCATTCAACTTGCACTTCATGGAGGCCTAGGGGCGCGATCTGGGAGGAACATAAACATCTCTCTTCTTGGGAAGCATGTTTGGAGTTTAATTCATGATAAACATCGTTTGCGGTTTCAAATGCTTGAAGATAAATACTTGAAACACAAGTATATTCTTTAAGTTATCTTGGTTGTTGGCTCTTCCTTCGCTTGGGCTTGTATTATTAAATTTGTTGAAATCCTAAAGGATGGTTTTACTATCCGCATATATAGATAAAGGTGAAGTGTCCCTTTGGTATGATAAGTGGATGATTCTGGTTACCTTTGCCACAAGGTTGATTATGAGCACATCACAGACACCCAACTTAGCAGAACAAAACTAAACTAATTTGCGACGTTGGATCTTGAAAGTAATAGCCCGATGAAAACTGATCAATCCAAGTAAAAGTAGCATAATTAATATTAGTAAGAATTCAAATCCTTCCTGAATGACCATTAGTCTGATAAAAAAACAAAGGGCGATGATCTAGTGAATCTCATTTTTATAAACTTTACATAAAAGAGTATGAGTTTCAGAAAGTAAAAAAGAAAAACGGATGATATTGTTGAACCAACTCACGAATATTGCGCTAGGTGCAACGACCAACTACACCATAAATGTTCCACGCTATGATAGATATATCCTTTAAACAGTCCATAAACAAACAAACTATTGAAAAAAACTAGAAATAGCAGCCTAAGGAAGTTGATTTGACCTATAATTTTCATCTGGAAAGGATGAAGGTACCACTTACATAATATTCTGAGGGAGAATAATATCTTCTTCCATATTCAAGGTGTCCCTTTTATTGCCTACTGCAGGTGCATTGTAGTCTCTTCATTTTCCCCATGATCATGAATGACAAGTTGACTATCCAGGGTTGGACCCCTATCATTATGGTCTGGTCCTGCCTCTGTTGATTAATTTCTAGGCCCCCTTAAATGTGACTTAGAGATGCGCAAGTTTATTTGCATTTTGAATCAAAAGGGATATAAGCATTAAAAAATCCTTGAGTCCTTTTATTCTTAAGATTTCCTATCATTTTTTTGTTGTTGAGAATTAGTGGTACACAAAGACATTTTTTTTCCTAGTAATCACCATCCATTCACCATGTAATGGATCATCCTTTTGTGCGGCCCCTTTTGTTGATTCATTAGGCTTGTGTATCGTTGTAGAATCCACTAGGGTTTATGGATGCGTTGTCTGGTTCTTGTCTCCCTCCATTGCTGGCAGACCTTACTAATTTTGAGGTGGTTGCTCCTCTAGAAATGTAACACGAGTCATCTTGCAATCCCTCTCAAAGTGTCCGTAACAACCATATATATGTAGCGCAAATCCTATGAAGGCCCTTGTATTCAACTTTGTACCAATGATTTTCAAGCCAAACTCTCCCTACCAGTGGAGCATTCAAGTTAATTTCAACACATACTCTAAGAAAGCGACCACACTGAACATCTTAAGTATTAGAATCCACCTTAATTGGTCTCCCTACTGCTGCTGCCATAGCTAAAAGAATGGTTTCATCATAATAAATAAGATTTAGTCCAAGAAAACCTACCCATACAAGAGTCTTATTTGTTTGCACTTCAAGGCAAAAGAATGTTAGAGTCCATGTTTAAACTGTTAAATAATGATCAAACAACATCCATGATCCATCCTCCATAACCTTTCTTCTATCTTCCTCATTATTAAATTTGACCATGAAAAAACATGACCTATATCCAGCATTTCAAATCCAGCAACCGGTTTCCATAGCCTCTAAGTTTGTCTTTCATAGTATTAAAGCCAACAAATTTCCCCAAAAGTTTGACCACCAAAGCATCTTGGCAAGGTGCATACAAACCTTTTAAAACTGACTTTGCTATGTGAACTTCGGGATTCAAATGATTCCCATCCTCATATATACTAGCAAGGGTTAGGGATATATTCATCTAAAAATAATTAATATATGACATAATATAAATTAGATTTTATATAAAAAGAATAAATAATTATTTTAACTTGAATTTTATAAATAGAGAGATAGTAATACGAATCTTAACATTTAATAGAACGTAAAATTTGCCGCTAAATGTTAAATTGATAATTTCATAGTGAAACAATAAATAATATTATTTATATTTGCATTTTTTTTCACTTTTTTAGAAAACACAAATTATTATATGATTAAATCGTAAATTTTTATAATAATTATTAAAAATATATATTAATAATTAATTTTTAATTTGTTGAGAATATAAATTTTTGCATACTTATAAAACTCATAATAATAAAAGTCTAATTTTAAAACAGTGCAAAATGGTGTTAAAAAAAACAGTGCAATTAAGAGAATATATTTTAAATGAACCGGTTAATTGGACTTTTCCGACAAAGAAATGTCTGTTTTAGACTACCTTCGTTACAAATATAATAACATTAATAAGATGGCTTGCGTTTTTATGCTATAGGACTGATTTTGACTTTTAAAGTTTTAATATTTGTGTAATTTTAGTTACTTAAATTTTAATTAAAAAATCTTAATTTATCATCATAATTTTAATTACTTAAATATCATAATTATATATATATATTATTTATTTATTTAAATTATATATATTATAATTTTTATTCATATATTAAATGATATATATTTATTATTAATAAGTTATTATTATATGCAATTTAAATAAATAAAAAATTATATAATTATCATATTTAAAGAATTAAAATCACACAATTATAATTGTTTAATTAAAAATTAATGAATAAAGTTTACATAATTATAATACTTGACAAGAGATTCATGTTATTTAATAAATATTCCAAAATTAAATTATATTTCTTATAAATGTAGAGAACTTAAGTTAAAGTGAGATATTCATTTATTTAATATTTATTAAATCCTCAAATTTATCCTTATATATGGTTAAAAATATTTTTTGATAATAAAAAAATTATTCAACTAAAATTTAAAGACTAAAATTTCATAAATAATATACTGACGTGACTATAATAACAATCACCAAATATTCATTTTTATCGAGGATTGTATTGGAGCACTCACTAGTCACTACCGTATCGCGTGACATCAACACCCTAGTTTAATTTTCTTTTTTCTTTTATTAACTTGAGCCCTTTATAATTATAAGCATTAATTATACATAGTTTACAAAATTCCTCAATTAGACATACTTTTATGCACACAATAATTAATATATATACATATATATGATGTGACACACGAATATATACACTAGTTTATTCAAAATTACGATTTATGTGAGTATATTTTCATTTTAAAGAGTCGTTATTAATTTTGTAATTTTAATATATTTTCATTATTAAAAATAGGATTTTAGTTTTAAGGAAAATGTTATAGTCGTAGTATTTTGGAAATTGTGGACAGAAAACAAAATAAATGGCTGGTTGGAGTTTGTATGGAAGAGTGTCTCTTTCCGTGGACTAGCAGGGTAATTGGTTCACAGACAATATATAGTTAGTTGGGATGAGTCGATCTTTGTCGTGGGAAGCTCTGTCATGGCTGCAACAACCACAATTCGCTCCAATCCCTCTTCGGTTTTTCAGGCCTCAAATCTGCTTAAACAAAGGTACTTGAAAGCCACATCATTTGCTCATACTTTTTCTCCTTCAAGGTCATTACTTTCTACCGGATTTGTTCCAAGGAAACTTGTTTTCGAAAGAAGGCACTTGTGGGTATCGGAAACCATGAGAACTTCTGCTTCCAGAGATGGAGAAGGCGACGAAAACATCCAAGTGTTGGAACAAGAAGCTTTCATCAATGGGTCGTCCCAGTTTCTCTCCAATTTCTTGTCCCATGAGTTGGAATACAAGCTCAATCGACTGGTTAGTAATCCTTTCTATTTCCGAATTTCCACTCATCATTTTTTTTTTTACTTTGCTTTGTCTTTCCATTGCTCCTTAGTGCAGACCTAGATTACAATGGAGTTTAATTCATTTAGTTGAGTAGGGTGTTGAGTATTATAAATGTACCAAGTCAGATTTCTATGGAGAAAAATGAAAAAAAAAAAAAAAAAAAAAAAAAAAAAAAAAAAAAAAAAAAAAAAAAACTAAACTACAGTTACTAGCGCTAGTGGATGGAAATACTCCTTTAGTGAAACTTCTTATATTTTTTTAATGTCCAATGTTTCTTTTCGGGAAATGCATGGAATTTGTTATAAACGATGAAAGTTAGAGGACTGAAATATGGTTGCAAGGGAAAAAGATGCAAATTTTATCATACGAGGATTAACCGTGAACCCGTGATTGGGAAGAGGATCCACTAGTTAATTACTTAGTTATATTGAAATAAAAAATTGTGTCATATTATTGAAGAGGAAAGAACCCAAATCCATGTTATAATATCTTCATGAATCATCAATTACTCCTAAAAGAAGAAATTTCTGTCATTTTTATTGTTGGGAGAGGTTATTCATTGTTAGAACTTAAGGAGTAGACTTATTCGAATATTGAATGAACACTTAATTGAGTGTGTGTTTGGCCACACAATCACGTCAGATCAAGTAAATAATGCAGAAGTTACTCTAAGAGTAGCTTCTGTTTTGATGCTGATCGTTTGTGGTTTGACACAAAACCAAACTTGCATCAAGTTGTTTGCCAAATGTTCCCTGAATAATGAAGTACTCGTGGATTAGTTTTGGATAAGACTGCCTTAATAAGCACTCAGCAATCAGCATTAGTTTCTGCTGAATTATATTTGTTTTTACTTTATGCAACTAGAATTCAAAATGGACGAAAGGGTAAAAGAAACAAAAAAAAGCCAAAAGCTCAGTTGCTATACATGCCCACCCACCTTAAGAGCCTACTGAATACTCGTGGCTTGTCCAATTCAAAGAACAACTAATATGAACAACCATAAATAGCGGCAATCTTACGAAGTTGCTATTTCCGGAGGTGTGTAACAACCACCTGATGCATTCCCTTTGGAAATGGCCTTTCTTAAGGCTTGCATGAAGCTGCCTGGTGTATTCTGCTCTGGTCATTGACTGAATATTAGATATATCCTGGTTTTGGAAACATGTCCCACCAAGTTTCTTGCAACCCTACTACTGTCATTCTGTCACTGATATATATTAATCATTCCCAGGTTCTCCCATAAGACTTCATTTTCCTTCTTGGAGCAACTTTGGAACTCCTATTCACCATATGTGGTTATGGGATGTATGCCTTCATGATCAATGTTCTTTTTAATTTCTATTGTTTAGTGAATTTATATACAAATAAATTATTTCTCAAGCAGTTCTTTTTATGATTGGCTTGTTTATATTCAGATCTGAGACTTAAATTTCAACAATCTATTTGAATTCCCATCTTACGAAGTGATGATTGTAAATGAAGTCAACATTAAAGTTATATTTTTATAAGCTAATGCTTTTGGTGCTATTGTTTACAGAGCAAGTGGATAGTAACCACCCTCTTTGGTGTTTTCATTGTTGCGAGACATGATGCAGAAGCCTTATGGTTTGCAGCAGGGTCTATTTTGAATGCTTTGCTTTCTGTTTGGCTCAAACGTATACTGAATCAGGAACGACCTTCAACCCTGAAATCTGACCCTGGGATGCCATCTTCACATTCACAGTCCATATTCTTTACTGTCTTCTTTGTTATTTTGTCAAGTAATTTCTCTTAACCAGTTGTTTCTTTTTGACAAAATTATTGAGAGAAATGGTTCACGAATCTTAGTTCTGTGATCCTTGCATGACCACCTTATGTGTTCTTTTGAGTATCTGTTGTTAACTATAAAGAGAAGATTAAGGTAGCTCCGATAAAGTCATAGTACATAACACTGCATTAAGTGCTTTCCGTTTCTATTATATGCTCCCTGTTTTGGAAGCTCAAAAGATTATTGAGATCAAACTTCTGGTTAAAGGAACTGATATTGTATTGGTGTTTGTAAATTTTACCAAGTGTATATCTAGAAGATATCTTCAATCTTTAATATTTTTAACATTGCAAGTGGCTAGTTTGAAATTGCTGGGCTAACTTATTTGCCTTTTAGTTTTAGTATTGCTTCATGAAATTAAAAAGTCCATTATCGTAGTTTCCTTTATAGTGATAACAATAAATAATAATAAATAAAAAATGTGATTGCCATGGCAGTCATCTGGAAGATTCAAATGCAAGCAAAAGATTTTATTTTTTATAATTAGAATTGTCTTGTTTCTACTTCATGGAGGTGCTGATGTTTATATATATAGATATATATATATATATATATTAACACCAATTGAATTATACGACTCACTATGAACATTTTGTTTGTTTCTCATATAATGTTACAGGCATAGAATGGCTTGGGCTAAATGGATTCACCATTGCTATCAGTGGACTGGTCCTGACGTTTGGTTCTTTTTTTGTAAGTGTATATAATATTTCCAGTTTTGCCTTTTAGTTCGTTGGTATAACTTATATTCCTTGTTTATTTGGAACATCAAATTTCTGCTTTTCCATATGATCCATTAAAAATGGTTATCTCAATTGCCATATCTACACTATCTCTTGCATTAGGTGCACCATTCCATACCTACTGAAAATTTTTCCTGACTTACAAAAATATTTAGACCTGGTTTGTGCCATTTGACAACTTATTCGATGTTTATTGGTTTGAAAATACTCTGATATCGTGCAGGAAAAGCAGAAAGCTCTGTTCATATGAATTATCATTTCTGAATTTGAGTACAGAATCATCATAATAGTAAATATTTGTAAGCATCAGTTGCTTATGGTTATTCTATGTTTCCATTTTGCAGTCGTACCTGAGGGTGTCGCAACAGCTTCATACAGTGAGCCAAGTGGGTGTTGGGGCTGTTATTGGGTCCATTTTCTGTTTTTTATGGTATTGGCTATGGAAGGGTTTGATGCTGGATGCGTTTGTATCATATCTGTGGGTTAGAGTCGTTGTTATTTTGGGCTCTGCCGGAATTTGCTTAGGTTTTGTTTTATTTGCGATCCGTTATTGGCTTCAAGACGACTAGAACTTTAAGACGTGTACAACATTGCAATATGTTTTAACGGCTAATGACACATATCATTTTGTTTCTTTCAATATTCAAGGCTTGCCTTGTTATCAAATAAAACTTGTTTAGGACAAATGGACAATGCTGCCAAAAGTAATGATAATTGAATCAGACATCAGATTATGATGCTTCTGTTTTGTTGGAAGTTCTGTGCCACTACATCTGAAGGTTATTGACAACCCGGAAATTCTATTACTAATAATCTAATTAAACCTTTTTTAAATGAGTAAATCCAATACACACTCTGGAGTGTGAAGGAATTATAAATACTGAAATGCTTTCATTTAAAGTATTTAATAATGATGCATGGTCATCTCGTGCTATTTAAAACACAAAGAAAGAGGTAGAAGGTAGACAAGAGTAGGTATGATAGGTCATTTAATATTTTTGATGCGACAGAAAAAAGATAACTAAAGAAAAGTCATAAGTATTAATAGAGTTGGAGTTTTTATAAGGAAGAGATACGTATATAATATATCATTCTAAAATATTTCAAAAGTGTCGTGCGGTTTTAACGAATTGAACCTGATACTGAATTCCTGATACTAAGAAGTTCACAATAACTCAAGTATTCTGTTCAACTTTATGTGACATCCAATCCAATCTTGTGTTGGAATTAATAAAGATCACAAATAAATAAATAACTAAATTTATATATAAAAAAAAGTTAATATCAACAATAAAATAAATATTTTAAAGTTAAAAATAGAGGAATTAGTAATATCATGAGATTAGAGAGTAATTTGGGTTGAAATATGTAGAATATGATCCTTTACACCAATAATTTTAAATCTTTTAATAAGTTTCTCTTTTAAAATATGTCAATCTGTTAAATCGTTCAAGAGTATAGTAAAAGATTTTAAAATTAAAAAAATTCTAAAAGTATATTTTAATAGTAAAAGTAATTTTTAGAAAGATAAGTGAATTGTTATGTATTTTTTTTACTCATGCACCAAAACAGAGACGGAGCCAAGGGGGGACCTACGGGTGCCACGGCCCCCCCAACAATTTTAATTTTTTTTTATATACATATATATTACTATATGGCACCCCCTATTTTTAATATAAACTCATATGTATAATTAAATGAATAACCCAAATTTATTTTTTTATTCAACTTTTGGACTTCTGGTACGGCCTGCTATGTGGTATCACTTTGGAATTTTTTTTTTTTAAAAAAATGTAGCGCCTCATTTGATCATTCCAATTCTCGGCCCCCCAGTATTGAAATCCTGGCTCCGTCCCTG